GCCGATGGGGGGTGCAAATATGTTTTTGGTGCGCGTGCAAGCGTTTGCCAAGGTCTGAGCAGGCGTCGGCCGCCTTCTCAGATGCGTAAAGTAATCAAGTGCGGGGGATAATTGATGCATGTGCTGAGTCCTCAAGGCCTGGACGTTGTGGTGGACTAAAACTAAAAGCTCAGGACTGGCAGCACTGCCAGTGAAACTGCCAGCGCGTAGCGCATGCTGCGCTCCCAAGGTTTTCCCGGGCTGCTGCGCAGATGCGAGCATGTATATTGCATGTACATATTTGAAGGACTTTTTTTAATCAAGTCTACCACAAGGGCGATGTGCATTGGGCAAATTTGATTTCACATCAGAAGGGGCACGGAGAAGCCTTGATTACGCACATACATCACAGCGAAACATGTCCTCTGGCCGTCGTCTCCGAGTAGGAGTGAGTGCTGGGGCTCCGAACTTGCGTTGCTGTTCTCAACATGCCGTGAGCGACATCCTATCCACGAGCGCTCTGGCCCCCTGCTGGGCACTGCTATTGCAGGAAGGATCTTCACCAGGTCCCAGCACAGCTGCGGAGCGGCCGAACTCGGGGGCATTGCAGTGGGGCTCGTCTGCGGGCGCGTCGTCATCCGCCGCTCGCGCTGGCGCACTCGCGGGTGCCCCATGGGGTGGATACTCGCACCATCAGGCGGAGATGTCGGTGAATGCAAAACCTTCTGCGGCCGACCTCAAGGGCAGCGGCCCCCCATCCGCGCCCCAGGCGACGCCCACTATCGTCGCGCAGCGGCTGGCGTCGCCCGCAGCTGCGGGCGCCTCGCCCCCGCAGGCACCCCGGCCGCTGCCGCCTTCGTTGCCAGACTCGCCCCTCGCCAGCGGATACTACTCTCAGCAGTTGCAGCAGCAGGCCGTGCGCCCGCCGCCGCTGCACCCGGCGTCGCCAGCCGTGCAGCCGCACCAACAGCCATACCAGCCGCAGCCGTACCAGCAGCAGCAGCAGGCGACGCCGCCCGCGCCCAGGACCTGGACGCCCCCTCATTCTGCAGGCCCCGCAGGTGAGCGACAAGGCGGCAATGCAACTTGCAGCATCAACAGGGGTTGTGGGGGCTCATCTGGGTGCCATGCGCTCTCACTCAAGCCCTCACTCTGCTGCTGACCAACGCGGTCCCTGCGTGACGGATTTGCGCGCAAGCCACGCGTGCAGCCGGGGCCCATGCCCATGCAAGCTGCCGGTGTGAGACAACAGCAACCGTACGCGGGTGACCCCCATGCAGGGCGCATGCGCGCTGAGGACGCTTTGCAGGCGGAGCTGCGGGAGATCGGCGGCGCAGAGGCGTTCGAGGGCGCCGCAGCCATCGCCCCCGCCGGCGGCGGCCGCCGCAGGAGCACCAACGGCGCCTGCAACACGCTCGGCGGCGCGGCGGCGCCGCCGGCCACGGAGGGGCCGAGGGCGCGGCGCCCCAGTGTCCATAATAACCTGATGGGGGAGCCCGGCGCCCTTGGTGTCGGCGAGGGGCAGGCGGGGGCGGTCGGCCTGGCGGGCAGCGTCGTGGCGCTGCTGCGAGGCAAGAAGTGAGCGGCGCGCGCGCCTAGTGGGTGACTGGGTGCCTCGTTCAGGAAGTAATGCATTAGCCTGCAGGTCAGGCAGTTGCTGGTGAACCGGGCAACATGAGGCATGAGTGCACCCCATACTTCACCCGCAAATGCCAGCCGTGCCGCGTACCCACCCCCCATCTTGCGCAGCTCGCCCGCCAGCGCGGGCGCGTCCGGTAGCGGCGTGGGCCTTGCATCGGGCACCACCAGTGTCCAGGCCTTCTCCGCCGCCGACGCGGCCGGCGGCCCCATCGTCGCCGCGCGCCGCGGCGCCGACG